TGACGGGCCCCGGTAGCTCTGTTTACGACAGACTTCGTCAGGCGTGTGACACGTCCATGGCAGCTGGGACCTGACCGATAAACTGTGGCATGCGGTGGCGTGCAGATTTTTACCGTGAAACCCACCAAACCCACTCTTTCTCTTCATATGCAGACATTGAAAATCCGACAAATAACTGCGAAAAGGAAATCGAAAGTCAGGAGCAATTCAATGCATAACGACTTAATTTCGCTGCATGTTGCTCCACTACCACCACACGGCAGTGTGTTGCCAACTCAGTCCCCCGCCCGCCTGTAACCACCACGTGTAGCTGACCACGTGTGCTGCGCCCGCGCCCGGTGCGACGGCGGGCCCCTTTGTGCGCCCTCCGGTGTGACGGCCTCCCTCCGGCCCGGAGCAGGCCGGTCAGCTCTCGCGTCACGGCCTGTGACGACCGTCACCGCGGCGGCAGGGGAGCGTCACGGCCCGGCGCCCCGGCCGGTGAATCGGGCCACCCGGCGCCGCCAGACGGGCGGTAGCGCGGGGCAATTACCTGCTGCCCACCGCCGCGGGCCCACGATACAGGCCAGTGATATAGTCGCTGCACCGGTCACACCGGGAGCCATCACTGCCATTATAACCATCAACACCAGCGTCATCGTCAATCCTCGCCGGCAGCCGGCAACGGCGACGTCGTCTGACGGAGACCGAACAACTCAGTGCCGTAAAGCCCGGTGTGGTCAGTGCACCAGACACCCGAGACAGCGTTGTGATTTCTGAATGAGATTTCAATGCTCCGATTATCTCATGACATGTTGTGAACCGAGACGCATGTAAGCCACCGCGAGGAAAAATGGACCATAACACGGGAAGGAAACGCTCAGAGCACGTTTTGACCACACGCAATTCAAGTTCGGCGCCAGGAGTTCGGTCAAGGTCTCTGATACGCCCCGAGGGCTGGACTGGGAACAGGGGAAGCGCGGGAGCCTCAGGGCTCGGCCGGGGACGTCGGGCGCGGCCAGCAGGACAGTCAGCCGGCCGGCCGGCGCCCCACACACACAGCCCATGTCACACCGCTGATGGAGCGACTACCGACTCAGCCGCCGCCGCCGCCGCCCCGGGCGCGCTCATTACTGTTCATTAATAAAGCCTAATTAATGTCCTCCTCGTCTGCCTATTGTTGGCCAGTTGCGGAATTTAGTATCGGCCTTCTGTTCTCTGTAATTACGGTGACGATAAACAGCGAACGGTGGAGAGAGAGAGAGAGAGAGAGCAGGGGGCTCCGATAAACTCGTATATCGCCTCCGTTTCATCCCCGCCCGAGCCACGCCGGTCCACACCCATTCGACCAGTCGTAACCCACTCCAAAGCACCTTCCCAACTCCTTGAAACACCCTCCCCGTGCTGAAGGAGCCCCGTCGCTGAGCGGCAGGGGGACGCCGCTAAGGTCATCCATCAAGACCGCGGCCAGGTGGGTATCGGCCGCGGCGGGACGAGGGGCCGACTGACGTCTTTTTGTTGGCGGGCGGGCCGGCGCGGTCGGCCCCAGTGAAAGGAGGGGCGGACGGGTCGGGGTGACTTGGTGCAGTTTACGTCATGTAGAGTGGTCCACCTCGTCAATCAGAGGCGAGTGGAGAAGCGCCGACTTGGAGTGCTCGGAAACCGGCGGAGTTTGTGAGGGATTTTGGATCTGAATCTGAAGGAAGGAGAGTGAATGTCCGGCGCCTTACTGGTAGTGGAGGGTTCGGAGCATGCCAAGGCATTTGTTGGAATGGAGTCAGGAATAAGAAGCACTGTTCCTGTAAGTGCAAAAAGAAGACCAAAAGAGACAACACATGGCGACATCATCTCGAAAATTTTCTTGACCTGTGAACTTCGAAACAGCAACAGCACAACACAAGCAACAACCACATTTGGCCATCGATTCTACTCACTCGTGGCAGGACGTTGAAGACGAAGCTTCTAGGGTACCCTCGTCTGAAAGGTAGTGGACGGCCCTCCTCGTTCAGCCGCCACCTCGGCCCAGAGACGGCGGTCTGAGGAAGCGTCCTCACCCGAGCACCGTGACCACTGGAAGCGCTCGTCGCCGACGCCAGTCCCACTATCTCCTCCAGTTCCGGACCCGCGGACAGTAGAGGCGATGGCACAGCGCGTTAGGCGGCAAAATCGCCCCTAGGCGCAACTCCGCAACAAGAGGAAACTGACGCACGTCGGTCGCTGCGCGGGGACCACATCCTGGGCCGCTATCTGCAGTGAGGGGCTGAAAACATGTCAGCCCGGCCGGCCGGCCGGCGCCTCGGCCCCGCACCAGTGTCTCCCGGGCAGACAATATACGATAATTCTAAACAATGTTCCATGGCTGCGACAACTGAGCTACATGCAAAACAGCTATCGCAACGCAACCCAAATCCTAGCCACATGAGACTCAAGAAAGGCACGAAAACTCGCCAATTAGGACCTCAAATGCTGTCATTTTGACCGCCTATATCACCGAACGGATATTACAGACAGGACGGCCGGAACAGCCAAATGTGACGAACGAAACGACTAAGGAAACCGCCGTCTCCGGGATGCACTCAGATAGATCTCTAACGATTTGAATGAAATCGTTCCTTTCAATGACTGAGACAGGCTTTGGAGTTATTATCCATTATCCAACTAAACGAGTATACCTGCTCATGTAGGGAAACGTCAGTGGGGTCAATATGGGGTAGGTGGGATACTGTTTAAGCTGCTTGCCTCATGTAACTACGCCGCGCATTGTTTTCAAGGGTGCACATTTGCTCACAGCGCAAAGCGTAACCCAAACAAGGCGACATAGGGAGAAAGTCAACGCTGAGTCATCCTCTGAGCCACAAGAACAATGCCAAAGAAGTGTTATGCTGAATGCAATCAGCTACTCATCAGTGCCGGCGGCACCGCTGCCGTTTCATCATAGCACACATGGTAAACACAGGAGAGCTGGAGTAACTACACACCGCCTGCGCCTTTGTCAGGACGCATTACGACAGGGCTGCATTTTATGTGAATGGGGATGTAACGTCGGTGGTAACATGGTGTCAGATGAGTGCAATAAGAATGACATCTGAGCTACAAAGCGGTTGTGTTACAGACAGAATATGAAATTATCTGTCTGGATATTTGCTAGGATAAAATTAACAAAAACCTCCGTAAGTAAGTATTCTTTACGTGGCATAGGCATAGCCCATGAAATACGTTTAAGTAAAATTTAATCTATGCTAAAAAAACGAAGTTCATCGTTAAGCAGGACATTTCAATCTAAGCAGTAGGATTTAAGCTGGTGAGAATTAGGTCAGTAATCAGATATCGACAAGCTGATATCAAAAGCTCCATAATTCACAAGTGATGGAGCATAAGGTTATTGTCTGTTCTGAGATTAATTCGCTCTGCTTCAACAAAATATGGATAACCTAAGGCAAAGCAATCGTATTTTGGCGGGACGCTATCAACATCCATATGTGTGACTGCGGCTGATGTTCTCTGATCAGACTCGATGACAGATTGCGGTCAGCGATAACAGCACCTCAGACAAATTAAAATAATGACCCCACGTTACACAATACCTCATGGCCGATCTATCCGCTGTCATAAGGGACCACCCCCGGCAGCAGCCCCTGTATTAGGAAATACACCGTCCAACCACTGCCCGCCAATATTTTGAACGTGATCTAAATTCGGCCGGACGACTTTCTCCGTCGGGGAGGTGCCTGGGGGCGGTGGGCCGGGCTGGTCCCCATATGTCGGCTGCTGCACCCCCAGGACCGGCCGGGCCAGCTGGGGACCGGGGCAGGGCCCACCCATAGGGGGAGGGGAGGGGAGGGGAGCTCAAGGCCAGGGTCCGCGACCGGTGCGCCGTTTGTGAGTACACGCCATCTGTAATAAAGTGGCACTTGTGCGGCGGCCCATAGATAGCAGCACTGGTCAGGCCGTCCAAACGAGCTCCCGTCAGGCGTTTTCTGCGAGCCGTGAGATCACTCATCAGCTACCGGTACCTCGGGGGCAGATTGATGTTCCACCACTCCCTGCCCATCGGGCTCCCATGGCTCAGCACTGGCTGCTGCCAGTGGCAGCACTGGCAGCACTGGCACTGGCAGGCAGTGCTGAGCAGTGCTGAGGGCAGGCAACACTGGCAGCAGCCAGTGCTGAGCCATGGGGGCCCAATGGGTAGGGAGTGGTGGAACATCAATCTGCCCCCGAGTGTACCATACCGGGTGTGTGGTTTTACTGCACAGTGGGGGCTATCACCTGTCCAGCACCATCCAGCATGCATTCTGTCAAGCATCAATATTTTGTGGAAGTGAAACGAAAGCTAGTGGCAGCACGCCCACATCCGCTTTTATAATTGGGTAGGTACGAGATGTGACCAGAAGTGACTGTATTGCACCTCAATGCTTCCAGCACATACGGACACTATATCCCAATTTCTGAAGAAAATTTGGAGTTCAAGCTGCGAGTGCCTAAAAGTATTCGAGATTTAGGCGAAACCACATTAAATAATCGTAACTTCAATAAAAACGTCTAGTTCTAGTTTGTGCCTGCCGTCTTGCCAACCTCTGAAGTCTGCAACCTTCATTCGGACAAATAGGTAAGGTCTAAGGGGAAACTAATTTTCCCATCCCCAAACGAAGAGGTTGTTTTATACAACCAATACCTGCCACCTAACATAAAAACTAGTCTTGTACCAGAAAGATGCATCAAATAAGATGCAAAAATGTTTGACACATAAACTCATCAATTCAGTAAATAAGTAGGTGTACTGGGCACTGGCAGCGCTGATTGTACTGTGTTGTATTGTGTACTGCAGCGCTGATCTGTTTCGCCGGCACGCTCGGATTGGTGCACGTGCGGGCGATCGAAAAATCAAGGATGTGCCGGCGGCCGGCGGCAGCGGCCGACTCGGCAGTGCGAGTCAGGCGGGTGCGGGGGAGTGTTGTTTTGTGTGCAGGTGCCCATTGCGAGAGTGAAAATATAATTTCGGATCACAAGCTATTTCGGCAACAATGGCGGGCCTGGACGTTAAGCTGATCCCAGAGTTTGACGGGTCGGGAGAAGATCACGTGGTGGACTGGATCGAGAAAGTGGAGATGGTCTGCACGCTGCAGACGCCGGCGGCCCCACAGGAGTGCGTGATCCCGCTTAGGCTTAGAGGTGGTGCGCTCTCTGTGTACCGGCAACTTCCCAGCGAGGATAAGAAGGACGCCGAGAAGGTGAAGTCGGCCCTGAGAAGGGCATTTGCCTTGGATAAGTTTTCTGCGTATGAACGTTTCGCAGAGCGGCGGCTCAGGCCAGGCGAGTCCGTGGACATATTCCTCGCTGAGCTGGAACAGCTGGCGTCACTTTTTGGCGGCATGACAGAAGAAGGCATCAGCTGCGCCTTCGTGACGGGACTACCGGACAGTGTCAGGCAAGTGCTGAAGGCAGGGGCTCGCGTCGACTCTCTCCCCCTGCGTGAGCTGGCTGATCGGGCTCGCGCCATCTTGCGTGAGAGTCAGGGAGTGGTCGCCATGGCAACCGGCAGTGACGTCAGCGGACCCCGGCGCCGGTGGAGCCGCGGGTCGGCGGTGGAAGCGGGCGCAGGGAGACGGGGACCGTGCTATTCCTGCGGCGAGTTCACTCACTATGCTCGCGCGTGCCCGGCACGTGACGTTACGGGACGCCCCGCTGGTGGTGAGGCGCGGACCCCGCGACAGCAGCGGATCTCCGACGAAGGCGAGTCACCGTCGCCTTTCGGGCGTGCGGGCAGCCGGTGCACCCAGATTCAGTGCTATCGGTGCAGGAATTGGGGCCACATCGCCGCATATTGCCCGGAGGGAAACGACCAGCGAGGGGAGGCACCTGCGCCGGCCTCTTCTCGGGATTGAAGTGGGCTGGCGCACTGCCGATAAAGGAGCTGGATGTGAATGGGGCGAGGTGTGCAGCGCTCGTGGACACCGGCTGCAGTCGGACTCTCGTTCACGTCTCGCTGTGCAGGCGGTGGCACCGGCGTGAGCTGCACGCGGTGACTGTGAGCGGTGAGCATCTGAAATGTGTTGGCATTGCTGATGTGCGAGTGGCCGTACCGGGGCTGCGGCGGGTGACGGTGAGCGCGCTGGTGGTGAGGGATAAGCCACTCGGCTTTTCCATGATAGCGGGCATGGATGCAGTGAGAGAGCTCGGTGGAGTGCTTGTCCGCTCGCCCGGTGATGTGCACTTCGGCTGTGAGCCGGCAGGAGAGGCGTGCGCTGCGTCGCCGGTGAAGGAGGGGTCGCTGCGAGTCGACAGAGAAGATTTCTGCGTCACCTTCGACCCGGTCCGGCGGGAGTGGACAGTGTCATGGGAGTGGTCCGCTGGTAACCCACCGCCCGACCTGGCCGGTCACGTGGACGAGTACCCAGTGCCGGCAGAAGCGCGTGCCGAATATGAGGCGGAGCTAGACGACTGGGTGAAGAATGGGTGGCTGCGAGAGTATGATGAGAGCGAGATGGGTCCCCCGAAGGGGCTCATTCCGCTGATGGCGGTCGTCCAGAAGACAAAGGTCAGGCCGGTCATGGATTTCCGGCCCCTCAATCGTCACCTGACAACTCATACGGCAGACGCCGACGTCTGTGCAGAGCAGACGCGCAGGTGGCGGCGGATGGGAACGGACGTGGCCTTGTTGGACCTGAAGAAGGCTTACCTTCAGATTCACGTCGACAAGAAACTCTGGCCTTACCAAACAGTGATCTACAGAGGAAAGCGGCATTGTCTGACGAGATTGGGTTTCGGCATGAACCTGTCGCCCTCCGTGATGAAGGCCGTGCTGGAAACTGTGCTATCGCAGGACGCGAAGGTGGAAGCGGCCGTGTCATCATATGTGGACGACATTCTGGTGAATGAGGCGGTGCTTCCGGCCCGAGACGTGGCTGAGCACCTGAGGAACTTCGGACTGGAGAGCAAGGAGCCGGTGAGGGCAGACAGCGGCGCTCGCGTCCTGGGTCACCGTGTCTGGGGGGAACGTGACGGGCACCTCCGGTGGCGCCGGGACAGTGAAGTGTGCGCGGACGTGCTGGCGACACCAGTGACAAAGCGAAGCGTGTTCTCGCTGTGTGGACAGCTTACAAGCCATTACCCTGTGTGCGGCTGGCTCCGTCCTGCCGCCTCGTTCGTGAAACGACTGGTGAGTGAGGCTGCGCACGGGTGGGACGAGCCAGTTCGTGATGAAAATGTCGTGCGGCTGGTGAACGAGTTGGTGACGAGAGTGAGAGCAGATGACCCAGCGAAGGGTCAGTGGGATGTCGGTGACGGTGTAGCGACTGTGTGGACTGACGCAAGCTCACTCGCTCTCGGTGTTGCTCTCGAAGTGGGAGGTGAGATTGTAGAGGACGCGAGCTGGCTGAGGCCTCGTGATGACGTCAGCCACATAAATCTGGCCGAGCTGGACGCGGTGTTGAAGGGGGTTAACCTGGCCATTCAGTGGGGAGTGTCAGTGATGCGTCTCATGGTCGATTCTCGGACTGTGTATCATTGGGTTAGTGACCTGCTGAGTGGTCGGGCGCGACTTCGATCGAAGGCGACGTCTGAGATGTTGATCAGGCGCCGGCTCGGCACACTGAGGGCTCTCGTCGATGAGTATGGCTTGAGTGTGAGCGTGTTCAGTGTCTCGTCTGCCTCTAACAAGGCCGACACACTGACGAGGGTGCCGGAGAAGTGGATGAAGGGGCGGACGGCGAACGGAGACGCCGCAGCGGTCGCCGACTCCGGCGGGGCGGCTGTCTCAGACACAGCCGCGGCCGGTGGCACCGCCTCGTCCGATTCCGACGGAGACGCTGTCAACGCCGCGCTCGGCACGGCCGGTCCCGCGCCGGCTCGCGGAGACGGAGACGGCGAGACAACCACGTCGGGGAACGGCCGCCAAGAGGACGATGACGCCCTATTGAATGAGGTGAGGAGAATTCATCACACGGCTGGGCATCCGGGCATTCGAAGGACGTACTTTTTCGTGAGACGCGCCCTCCCGGAGGTGTCTAAGAGTGTCGTCAGAGAGGTTGTTTTGGCCTGTGAAACGTGCCGCTCTATCGACCCTGCGCCGGTAAAATGGAAGAAAGGTGAACTGTCAGTTGCTACGGTGTGGGAGCGCGTAGCGATGGATATCACGCACTTTCGGGGCGGCACTTACCTCACGCTGGTCGACTGTGGTCCGAGCCGGTTTACCATATGGCGGCCCTTGCGGCTGCAGACGAGTGCAGCGGTGATTGACCAGCTTGAATCTGTGTTCTGTGAGCGCGGCGCGCCGAGTGAGATACTCACTGATAACGACCCGGCTTTTCGGAGCAGGCAGTTCCGAGCCTTTGCGTGTCACTGGGGGATAAAAATCCGTTTCCGGTGCGCTCATGTGCCCTCTGGGAACGGAATGATTGAACGCTGTCATAGAACTGTGAAGGTCATCGCGGCTCGAAAAGACTGCACTATTAGGGAGGCGGTTTTCCGCTACAACGTGCTCCCACAAGATGACACGACGGCGGACTCAGCTCCGGCCTGTCGGCTGTATCAATACAGAGTGCGCGTGCAGGGCGTGGATCAGGATAACGTAGCTCGTGAGCGGAAGGCGACGGACCCAAGTGTATTTTGTCCAGGAGACAAAGTGTGGGTTAGGCCGCCCGACGGGCGGTGTGACAGCCGTTACGAGACGGGTGAAATAACTGGTATCGTTTCACCTCAGTGCGTGGAGGTCGGTGGTGTGCCGCGACACGTAAAAGACCTACGCCCGCGTGCGCCGTCTGAGTGTTATGAAGCGTCGTCTGCGAACGACGACGGTGATGAGCCCGTGATGTTCTGGACGGGAGACGCTGGAGCGCACGCCGATGCGGCGGTGGATGGAGATAACGATTTGGCTGCGGATGCCGGTGGTGTCGATGCCGATGGGCGGGCCGAGCCGCCTCTGAGGAGGTCACAACGTCTGCGGAATCCGTGTCCGCCGTGCAATTGTGGCCGTGAGTGACTTAAAAGTCAGGGGGGAATGTACTGGGCACTGGCAGCGCTGATTGTACTGTGTTGTATTGTGTACTGCAGCGCTGATCTGTTTCGCCGGCACGCTCGGATTGGTGCACGTGCGGGCGATCGAAAAATCAAGGATGTGCCGGCGGCCGGCGGCAGCGGCCGACTCGGCAGTGCGAGTCAGGCGGGTGCGGGGGAGTGTTGTTTTGTGTGCAGGTGCCCATTGCGAGAGTGAAAATATAATTTCGGATCACAGTAGGTACATCATCACTGCAGCTCAAACCACAAATTCACCTCCGACCTTTAAATCCCAGCCCATCGATTTTTCCACCAGCGCCGACCAGCTCAATAGCACGTTCAAATCACGTCCAATGTCTCCGAGCCAATGCGCCGCGGCGCCCGCCAGTGCCCCCGGGGCGTGTGACCTCTGGCCTTTGAGTCGGCGACGGCACCCCAGCCGCACGTCAATGAGGGCCTGACCACCGCCAGTCCACAGAGCGGTAGGTCAGGATTAAACTGGACAGGCTCGCGCCGGGCCGCGTGGGATTTGGCAGTAAATTGCGTTAGTAAATTTATCCAAGGATCCATTAGTTATTAACGTTTCCTCACTTCGCGCATGGAAATTTTCTAAAGATGCTCGGTAAACTCAACAAATTAGTCTCCCATGGATCTATGAAGAGAATAAACGGAACTGAATGCGTAACAGCTGAATGCTCTTTTTCTGAAGGTGATGGCTTGGATCCCATTAACTCTGGAGCCCTGCCTTCGCTTTGCATGACATGACAGTCCCATACCACCCACCGTTTCTGCCAAAAGCATGCACAACTGCACCGAACAGCTTTCCACGGCACCTGGTTGGACTGAGTCAGCCGATACCGCAAACCAAAGTCCGTTGGATATGCACCTTGATTCAGAGTAACGGACATATAATACGCCACAAAACCCAAGCAGATTCAAACTGTTATATAACGACAGTGATCTGGCATATGACTGTTCAGTATTTGCTGATATACTTATTCCGGTCACAGAAACCACACATGGGGTGGTCTTAAAATCCGCTTGGTGATGTGTTTAGCTTTGTGGTCACCCGGTGGATGCATATTGCATAGCTCGTGAAGTCATTAGTCACGTAGCATCCAGCTCGGCTCTGCATAGCGCTCACGTGGCCCCTACCACAATCCCATCCGAATAGCACGTGATCCTTGCTCGACCCTGTCTCTCGGTCACGTGACCACACCTCTGTGCGATCCCGTGATCACGATCGGCTGATCTGAGGGTTGCCAGGTGGGCCCCCGGACCCGGGCTCCTTGGTTCCACTTGGTGTCAGTCTCGTCTCGGATGCTGAGCGGAGGTGTTGCGTGTCCACTTTGATTTCGGGCCGGGCTCCGTCAGGGTGCCAGAGACGGATTTTATGGACGGCAATGGCCAGGGAGGTCCGGAGGATTTTCGGATTTGTTCATTTTGCGGTAGCGTAATCGCATCTTTATAGTGTTTACCTGACAGCCGACATATGCTGAAGCTGAGTATGATGAGATATGTAAAACGGCCTATGAAAATCTGCAGCGACCTCCAATATATGCTGTGAAATCATCTTGTATTGTTTTAAGTAACGAAAGTAAATAAAAGAACAGAAGAGCATAAATATTGGGGTGCATTGAAACGAACTGCACCTAACCGTGGATATTTTGTGCGGCTTTGTCGAACTAACTATACAATCAAATTTCACCAACTCAAATAAGAAATATCACACACCATAAAAACCTCAAATGGTGCCAGACCCGCCATACTTTCCACGTAGTATGATATTTACCAGTAAAACGCCTTTTGGGCGAAGAACGAGCGAGCGAGATAGTGAGCCCTGCACGTGCAGAAGGGCGAGAGGGTACTTCCAACGGGCTTGCGCAAAGCACCCTTCTAACCGGTCGCTAGCGGTGTACCAAATTTGAACGCAATCGGCCCAGCCGTTCCTGAGATCTGGAAGCGGCATTCTGCACGTGCGCACGTGCAAACGGGGTCCAAACTGACTTTTGCACGGCACCCTACTAACCGGTCCACAACCGTGTACCAAATTTGAGCGCAATCGGCCCAGCCGTTCTCGAGATCTGGAAACGCCCCCTGCACGTGCGCACGTGCAGTAGCACCCTAACCGCAACACATGGGAATGCATTGCCTGGTGGGTGCCTACCTGTATGCCAAGTTTCAGCGAAATCGCCCCAGTAATTACCGAGTTACTGAAATGGGAACAAAGTTGGCACCTCTTATTGTTGTATTTTGCACGTGCAATGGGGGTGACCCACGTGCATGAAGAGTATCCTATTTTTGGTAGAAAGGATGCAGCTACCCCATAAAAATTACCGCAAGTCAATCGCCCAAGCGGCTGCTGAGATATGAGCCTCTCAAAATCACTACTTTTGTAAAACAGTTTGAACACCCTTGACTTTTCACGTGGCACGTGCCACGACGGTCACTGAGATGTATCAAAAGTAGTCAATTACGGGGTAGAAGGGATGGGGCTACCCAGCAAAAAAGACCGCAGGCCAATCGGTCCAGCGGTTGCTGAGATATAAGCCTCTCAAAAGCGTTACAGGCCGGGCCGGGCCGGGCCGGGCCGGGCCGGGCTGGGCCGGGCCGGGCCGGGCCGCTCATACTGATATTTTTCCGTTATATTGAAAAGACTCGCTTCGCTCGCTGCGCTCGCTCGCTCGTAATTAGAATTGACACCTTTGTTCGAGACGCTTGATATCCGTTTCGCCCGTTTTATATTTGCATTTGTGACCTGCTAATCGTCACACCTTGACAGTTTTTAACTATGTAGGACCTCCTTCACATAGGTTACGTAGTGCGCGCACGTCCACAACACTATCATTATTTACCTGCATGAAAAGCCATGTCTTAAGTTAGGTACTCCGCGATGTCACCATTGATCCAACTCCCGATGACAAAGCTATACATTCCCTGGACACCGGGCGACATTTCAGGAGCGCACCGGACCTCAGTCACATCCCCACGACCCATTGACATGCCGGGTGTGCCCGTGACCTAATGGCACTCGGGCGAATTTTAGCCAGAGATGACGCGCCGGCTTTTCTAGATCCAGGATCCCGGTGTCCGGCCTCCCATCTCAACTGTGATCAAACAGAGGTCCGTGTCTCTGCGGTCGGCGGTGCGCCGTCACAGGATGAGCACATTGGGGGACTTTTCCGGACTGAAGTAAGTCCTTGGTGAGTAGGGCGGGTGGTGGTCGAGCGGCGGCGTGGAGCGGTGATGTCAACATGTCGCCATTCTAGCACTGACATGCACGATCTCACAGGAATTCGCCGTAAGGGAGGTCGCCACGTGAGAATAGTGGAAAATGACGGAGCAATGGGAGCAGCGGATGACGCCGAGATGAAGTCATAACTCTCATCTCACGCTAATAACGGAGGGCTTACGGAGACAATGGTGAGGCATGCATCTCTTCATCTTTACGCGCGTCTTCCCCGTGATGAGCTGAACTGATAAAACGAGCTTCGTTATCTCCCTTATTTCTACGAATTTGTGGAGCAAGAAGTGTCGAACATAAGATGAAATGTTGAAGTTGCAGGTCGAATTGTTACAGGCATGCCTTTAATGCAAAACAGCCATGTGCACAGCCGTTTATGCACAAAACACCCGTTTTTCGCCGTCGCCAGTTTCTCTTTTGGTGATCGCGATTAAACTACTCAACTAAGCGATGATGGTGATTTTCGCTGGGGCCTGTTTCATGGCACGCCAGTATCTGGTAGCGGAGGGTGGTGGCGTGCTGTGGCCTGTGACAGAGGGCCCTGATAGTTCTTGGTCAGGAGAGGCCCCTCTTCAGCTACACCATTCCCTTCCTCCCCTGAGCCACACCATCATCAAGACGCCAAGATTGACGTGAAGAAGGTATAAGTTCAAGAGCGGTCTTTTTACATAAATTAATTCGCTGGCACGAATATCCATTTCCTTTTGTATTATTTAACTTTGTTCAAACAATCCAGCTTTCCCGTAATACACCATAGATGCCAGGCGCAACCAATTAACCACAGCTAAATATAACGAATTCCTGCAATTGTATATACAAACATGAATTATTTCCTTGAAGTTGCTTCCAATGTGGAGCCATAAAGCACCTCAATAAAGGAATAGCGAGAAAGACTTCAAACACCAATAAGAATAGCACCAGCAAAACGTAACCCATTAAAATTCTCGCTCTCGTAATAGGAGACAGGCCGTTCAAACGGACCTTTCGTCCTCACCCCTTTGCTGTGCTGGAGCTTCACAGAATGAATGGACATTCTTGAACACACAAATAGCCCGTCACCCCGAAATAGCCTTTGAACAAGGCCCAAGGTGAAACCCTAGCCGAGTGGTCGGTCGGTGGGGGGGGGTCGGAGGGGGGGCACACCTGCAGACGGCTGGGCGGTCACGGCTGGGGGAGCGGCAGCGAGCCCCGCTCGAGGGGGGCCGAGGGGAGATGAGAGGCGCCGCCGGGCTCGCGGGCGGGTCACGGGGGAGGGTCACGGCCCCTAACGAGCCAACGAGCCGCGGCGAGCGCTGGCCACCGCTGAAAGGGCGGCCACAACTGGCGGAAGTCGTCAGCTGGGCCCGCAGAAAAGCTGCCCAGAATGCTTGCACTAGGTCAGAGGTCAACCGTCGAGAATGACGACACCGTGGGCTGAATGAAACAGAATTCATTCATAGAAAAGGCACGAAAAACGCATATATAAGAATGCGATATTCCAGGCACATGGAAATGTACCAAATACCAGCATAGCCTAAGATAGTGGGCGAGCTGACCATTTACAGCGAATTCCTGCAATGTATACAGCCAGGTCACTTTCTAATCTCACCTTGTTGCCTCGGCCGTCTCCTCTCCGTGGTGCCTCCACTCTCTGACACTCCCAACCTCCCCGATTCACGGCACCACCTCAGCACACGTCACTGCGACCCACACTGGCCGGCGCCAGTTCGGCCTAGGCGGGCCGCCTTCCCAGGAACAGGCCACGATTAGCGTGTCATCCGCGGAATATCCTCTGGTATACTCGCCGACCCGCGCCTGCAAGGCGCCGCGAACCGGCCATCGGCAAATCCATGCCGTCCGAGGGCCGGCCGAGCGGGCAGCGCTCGCGCTGAGTGCGGGTCCGGCATGCCTACATTGCGCTACAGATAGGACGGATAATTCTAGGTAGTCTGACTGACCCGGCCACAGGTCATCCACACTGTAGATCTAGACTGCAGGCTCTAGACTGGCTTTTAGGGACAGAATCGATAAGAGGGATCGGTGTTTTACCAGTCTGATGACAGGACAGACTACGGACGGGGCAGCAGAGCGGCCATCATTTGACGAGGTTTGCTGACATCTGCTTGGGGGGAAGCGGATGAGGTGCCCTAGCCGGTCCAAGCGCGGACACCTCCGGTTTGGTCGCTCCAAAATCGGCACCGCATCCGGGGGCTTCTGACAGATCTGGGAGGCTTATGAATTGGAATGTGAGCCGCCACCACCTGGATTGGATTGGTGAGACAGATGTTGGCTGCGGCAGGGGAGCCGAAAACTGAGACAGGGGAGGTGAGAAAAGGCGCAGCAGAGCCGGAGCTCTAAAAGGCAGAACCAGGATCCTACCAGTCTGCATTAGGAATCAAATCCAGCTCAGGAAATAAATCCGATGTATAAAAACGAACGGCCTATAGGCCCGCCTGAAATACCATCTGTCAGCCGCCGACGAGATAGAAAAAAAAAAATAACTGCGTACGTGTACAATAGTCATTACAAAAAGCACAACAAAAACATAAAAAATTCCTAAGAATTAACTCCGAAATGCGGCTTAAAATGGGCGCGTCATCCAGTTTGGGGCACGTGCGAGAGGCAACCCTAACTATATCTTTTTACATTTAGCCCAAATCGGATCTCAAGACTCAAGTTGAAGCTTCAAAGCAGCCGAAACTAAAAATTGCGTCACATAGCATAAGCTTTTCGTAATTCCAATGCAATTATGCAATGTCTGACAACCGTGCTCAATTCCTGAGCTAAACAAAGCGTAAGTCGCATCATTCGCATGGCAAAAGATAACACTGCTTGGTGTTTACTACTTTTTCAACACTGGGATTGAAGCGCATTCCAAAATGAGCTTCTCTCATACTAATTTGAGCGCAATAACACCACGGCTTCTTTGAGTCATCTTGTGTCAAGGCACACAGATACATATGGTGGACAATGGGAAATAGACAACGCAAGTCCCATCGGTTAATGATCGCCTTGTTAACGCAATTACTTTCCCACATAGTAGCGCTAGACGGGAAATTGACAATTATCTAGCATAATTTATCCACGCAGACCTCAAAACAACTAACTATGCGTAGAAAGCTCACGCTGACACATGCGCGCGTCACATTGCGACTCTAGTCGCTACTGGTGTAACTCTGAAGTTCGGAAAGTCATTAGTGGTATGCGCCTCGTTTTGGAAGCGGACCTGACCTTGCCATAGTCCGGATAGCGTCAGGTCACGCAGTGTTCGTGACACCGGGGATAATTTGTCTGAATTTCCGGTACCGGGCAACCTTTGCTGCCAGCACGGCTGGGCAGTGCTGGTAACGGCGATAGAAGCAGTTTTGATGACAGCAGCAGAGTTGGATGATAAATTATTACGTCATTGGTAAATTATTGATGATGATAAGTTGTTATATGTCATATATAAATCGCCTCAACTATTGCATTTCACAAAATTATATCCCCTTTCAAAATACTGTTTAGTGTTGCGCAGGTCTAGGAGCAAAAATTAGCATATGTAAGCACACGGCCGGACTCGACCCAACCCACCCTATCGCCTCAGTTGGGCTGGAACGGGATCAGTGTGACTCAACGCAGGCTTTTCTCATTTATATTCAGCCACTTACTCCGACTCTACAGAAAGTTTTTACTTTTTTCAGAGCATTCTTAATTCAGGTGCGGTAATCATAACCAACTGAATATATGCTTACCTCATGCTACTTAAATGTCATTAAAACGTGCGAAATCCAATAAAAACACACTTCCATAATTCTGTTTATCTTGGCTTCAATGCTTCATGATATTGGCTTCATGATCATCATAAGTAAAATACCTACTTGGTATAAGCGTGTATATCTGAATCCGGAATGTGGACGCTTTGTCAAAGAGTTTCTTTCGTTATAGTGACCAGGTTAGGTCATGTGACTAACGGACAGCTCTGTGGATAGCCTGAGGCACGGTCTTAGCAAATTTTCAACAGTTCATAAAGCACACGGTGGGATTATAGCTGAATGAACAAGGCGCAAATAATTTCCGGACACGTTGTACCTACTCAGGTTTCATGACTTGCCAGTGGTCTTTCCACTGACCCTGACCTTAGTGACCCCGTGACCCACCTGGTGACCCCGTGACCCACCTGGTGACCCTTCCGGGTCGCCGAGGTCACTGATGGACGGCACCTTCCGCATAGAGAAGCAGTCGAGGTCTTCAGGTGCTTCCACTTTTGCCGGAATACTAGCCTGCAGGCAGGACCGGGTGTAAGTCAGGTCAATCAGAGAAAACACGTGACTAACGGCGGCGGCTGAAGTAGGTATACGAGAGGCAGGTCACGGTCAACTGACATGGAAGTTCCAGCCTCCAGGTGCTTCACATATTACCATAGGATTGTCTAGTTAATAGTTATGTATCTCAGTGCGATCTACTGTTGGATGAAAGTTTGGATTAATTTTGGATTAGGTTTATGTTTAATCCGCGTCACGAATGTTTTGGATTACCGAAGCCACCAACAAACGCAGTGAGGAACAGCAGCTCGTGAAAAAAACTTGAAATCAGCATGCGTAAATAAATACGTAGAGGCTTGCAAGTCACGGCGAATACACCCGCGCTCCCCATCCGCCGACCTAGAATCGCGGCGCGTTGGCCGGCAGCGCGTCACTTCCGGCGCGACCGCGCCAGTATCGCCGAGAAAGCCGCACCGGCCGTGTGCCGGGGCAGGGGTCAGTGTCCCTCTCCCCTCTTCTGTGGACAGGTGCCGGGACAGAGGGGTTGGCGAGGGCCGCGCACCTGTTGCAGGGGTAGGTACGGAGGAGCGTGGCCGGTTGACCAGTGGCGGTCCGAGGACGCCTCCGCCGGAAACGCCGCCGGAAACGGCCACTTGGCCAGTCACGAGAGTGCCGCGGGCGAACTACGATCGCCACCGCCGCCGCCGCGGGCGAACCACGATCGCCACCCGCTACCACCGCCGCCGGCTGGAGGCGCCGCGTTCAAACCCTGTGGCGTCCCGCCGCCTCGGGTCCTGCTCAGACCCCAGTGACGGCGGCCCGGAACGGTGAGCTGAGGAGTAGTATATGTATACTAGACTATACGTGCCGTCAGGCCTGTGTCCGCTAGTGGGGGTCTGAAATGTGTATCGATATGATCGCCGGACGCCGACTTTAGCCTATGCCGAGTGCGCTACATGACACACGCATTTACGGAACGCTATAGGAAACGGAAAATGGTCCATTTATGTCTATAGGTATCTCTAAAAATACTCAAAGCAAGCATTCTCCCAAGTTTTGTTCCTCGGTAACCTAATGAAAATGGCTTACAAAGTTTGAAAAAACCTTCTTTTTATAAAAAGCCTCGTAGCGTAAGCGCCCCGGGGGGGGGGGGGGGCGTTTCGGCCCCCCCTAAGATCTCGGAAAGTTACCGGCCGATTTTCAAAATTCAAACGGCGTTCGATAGCCCCACCCAGGAACTACCTTGTGACCAAATTTCATTGACCTAAGTCAAACCGATGACGTCACAGGTCAGGTCAAAGGTCAGATTTTCACCGTTCACAGGCAATTCAAGAAATGTGCTGTGAAAGCGAGTAAATTGGTAATTTATTGAAAACCATCGATGGTACATTGTTCGTCAAACACATACTTTGCTATCTGAGGTCACTGATACCAGGTCAGGTCACAGCGAGGTCAGGTCACCGGGGGTCACAATATGAATGTGTCGTGTGATACATGTTTTATGGTCCATTTTACATGACAAATGCGATTATGTGGGTTAGGCAGCCTTTGGGGCCAGCCTAGGTCACGTTTTGGTGAAGGTCAGGTCAAGGTCAGGTCAAATTAGGTCAAATTTCAAAGTTGATATTTTTGCATAAAATGGGCATCGATTCGATGCAGCTCGTCACGGGGAGTCTAATGGTGGTCTTCGTTTTGCTCTACGAGTTCTAGAATTGCCAAAAATTGAGTTTGAAAATTTGACGTCATCATTTTTGAACAGTTTTTTCGCTATAACTTGGCCAAAAAACGAGGTATCGATCTGAAATTTGGTATGTAGATAGAAGACGGTAGGCACTATCACATATATTCCGGTTTTTTCGAAACTCAAAAAACTTTTTGGATTTTTTGGCGAATACATCCAAAAAAATGCTTTTTTGATTTTTGGGGGCCAAAACTCAAAAATTTCAAAAATTCGAGATAGCAGTTTTGTAGCCCTGTCAATTCTACACCTTTTATGTTTTGATCATTTTTCTGTATCTTCAAAGCTGTAGTCCTGACAGGTCTTCTCGCGAAGGTCTTTTTTCGGTCGAAAATGACAGAACATGACGTTACTCTGACGTCATTTGTGGCCAACCTATCATAGCCTCTGGAAAAAAAATTTTGGTCACAATGTGTAAAATTGATGCCCGGAGGGGTCCTGAAAGTTTGGTGGCGATATCTCCAGCCGTTTAGGAGATATCGACCGAAAAGGACAGGGGGGGGGGGGGGCGTTTCGGCCCCCCCCCCTACGGGGCGCGGGTTAACCTGATTGGAACAAAGTGCAACAACTCCATAGCACTACCTCAAACAGTTCAGAGTGCAATAGTGAGACAAAAGCTTATAGGGCGGCGGCCATACAGTCGCCAAAGCGGTGCAGTGCCAACTGTGCCGAGATACTGGACCCATGTCATACTACGCCGCGAGCCTGTAATGGACACGTCGCAGCATTGGACCAAAAATGTGCCCAGGGCTCA